AAGTTGTCACTAAATAAAGACAAATGGGAATCTTAAAGCTGTTTTCTGGATATGTGTTGACAAGTCCCGTTTCGAAGGTGTGTAAGAGCTGCTGGAAATTCTACAATTATTGTCAAGCAAACTCGTGTGCAAATGTAATGAAAATTTGAACAAATTGTTCAGTTGGTTAATTCCCACAAAATAATGGGAGATGTGGAATTTGCGATATAACATGTAATGTGGTATTTAACCACGCAATTTAAATAAAAAAGACGCGCAGAGCATGCTCATTGGTATACAAACGGTTCTATTTTAGACCACTATTTTGAAAAAAAAGTGTGTTTCATGCATATCATAGTATTACCCAGACAGCATTTGAAAGTGTATATTGTGTGACAGTATAAATAAATAATAACAAGTGTGACACAACATCGTGTGTGCACTGGGTGGGTATGTCAAAATGGAATGAACTGCATTAGCTGTACTATCTTCATTGCGAATTGAAATATGGACAGCAACTATGAGAAGACATGTACCTTATGCAAAACAACAAACATTCATTGATGGTGTTTGTGTTAATTATGTTGATGCGACAACATTGATGATGTGACTGAAAACTACAAGTCGTGCAGTAACGACAGTCCAATCTGGCAGCACCACAACACGTAAGACTTTTAGTACCTTCTACTCACTATATGTAACATGTACAATTTATGCATCACGCAACTGTGTGAAACACACCACTAACAATTACTCATTTTTTCATTTTAATAAAGAGAAAAGATGTCAACAATACAACACAACATACAATGGAAACTGTTACACCACATTGGGTATTGGAAAGAGCTGCTTGTTGAATTACGTCTATGTCATTCGTGAACATTTAACACAATGTGTGCTGAGTGTTAAGGTGGTGCAGAAAGAAAGTGCAGTGTTTGCAAAGCAGGGAATTACCCAAAGATATATGATTATTTTATGTGTCAAATCTGTGACACAACATGTGATGGGAAGTGAAACACAACAAAAGGATTGGGTACCAAACCGGTTCTGTGTCAGACAGTAATGCATAGTGTCTATATGTCACTTTAAGAACTTTTTATATGAATTGTGCAACATGAGATTGTGGAATAAGTCCAACAACAGTAAGTTACAAATTTGTTGATTGTGACACTATATCGAATCGCGTTCAATTGTTCTTAACACACATTCAACTTATGTAGAAAAGTTCCTGAAATGCATAGATTTGTTTGTGCAGATAAACATTAATTGTAAAAGTTGCTTGATTGGTGAATTTAGTTCAACAAGACAATATGCAGAAAGTGTTACAACACAAACGACAATTGCAACACGTTTGATTCAATCACCGTTGGCAAAGCAAGATGTAATATGTACATTTTCCTTACGTTTTGAATGTCACAAAACACGAATTGTGTCAATTAAAATATTTTAACAACACAACAAGCATTTGATATTTGTTAAAATGATATTAACTGTAACATTTATATAACAAAGAAAATTGCCTGGTCTGCAGTAAATCATCTTTGTTTCCAACTCAAAGTGTGTATTGTCTAAAAATTGTGAGTCACCAACTCTATATTCGTGTTATTGTTCAGACCAAATATTGATCAACTCAAATTGTCCCTTACAAATAAAACGTTGTAAATACCACAAATCAGAGAAGGGTGTTTCGACGTGTATTTCTTGTGAAGATAATTATATTTGAATAACAGTGGTTTATGTGAACAACAACACGTTTATGGCTTTGTAAGTTCAGTAAAATTTCTTGTTAGTAGATTAAATGGGAAAATAAAACCCCTTAATAATGGTTATGAAATTATTTTTTACCTTTTCCTTAATAAGCGTTTTTAATTTTGATTGATTGAACGTCTGTTCATGATGGGATTCTCTTAATGGTGATCTATTAATGAGAGGTTTTACTGTAATTAAGTTGCATTTAGTTGCAAAACAGGAATGTATTTGACAAATCAAAACACATATGACAGCTTTGGTGCATCAAAAGCAGTTTGCTCAACTCAAAACATGTTTTCGAAATGCGCCGATTCGACAATCTTTGATAGAGAACAGATGGAAAGCACCACCAATACACACCGTAATCAAGTTATCAATAGGTTTTGATAACAATCCAAAAAAAGACACGGAACTTAACAAAGGAAAGTGTTTTAATTAAGGGATTATGAATTATTATTTGTTTTGGAAAAATGTGTGGAGAGTCCAATCAAAATTAATTCATGTTTAACAAAAATCCATGTGAAGTTAAGGAACAAGTTAATTATGAACTTATAAGTTTGAGTAAATACACACAATGCAAAGCTGGATATTACCAAGTTGACACAAAAAACAATGAAGGCAAGTACAACCTCTGCTCAAAACAAATGTTGAATTGCACAATAATATTACTCACTTAACAAAACAAATTTTCTTGAATGTTTAGACTGATATATACTAAACTATTTGATTATGTTAATGAAGTCTATGAACTAAAAGTGTCATACATAACACGATAAGTGCACCTATAACTTAAAAAGTAAACCGTTTGAAATTAAAAACATACAAATTAAAGTTAACAGTTTATTAAATTATTTGTTTTTATTCCTCATTTGATGACATATAATATGTTGTATTATATGTATGTTGGTTAATCAGTATTTAATAAAACGTTTTATTTAAAAAACAACAACATAAAGGGTACATGAAAGATAGAGAAGAGTATGACTGAGTGTCTAACTTATCATACATATAGACATTAATTCAATGAAGAAATTAGTGAAAAGCAGTTAGACTCTATGGACTATTATCCTTTTTGCAATAAGTGCATGAACAAAAGCAACTTTAAGAAGCACAAAAATACAATAAAATACCAAAGAATGCTCGACATTACTCCCATTAAAGACTATAAGTTCTTTAAAGCACATTGGGATGATTTAAATATTATCACAAAAGAGTCATGCAAAAGAACAAAGAATTTCTAATAAATGAAAAATCCAGAGCCCAAAAACTTGAAAAACTTACAACACGGCAAGTATCTAATGGTAAACAGCTAAGACTTGGACTGTTTATGCAATTATCAAAAGAAAATTTAACACTCACTGGAGAAAAATTATTAACAACCAAAAAAAAGTTTCCATTGTTAAAATAGTGTTGTGTGTTGACTACAGACTAAATGATTTTTTAAACTTGTTTTATTTCCACTACTTTTTATTCAGCATTACAACTTATATTTTTTTGATTGCTTATCTAAATGCACATAAATATTTATTCTTTGTGGTATATAATTATGACTGTATTGAAAAATGAACTTTAAACATATAAATTATAATGTCTTGGTTACGTGGTCATTCGTCAAGTCAACATTAATATACATATGGAAATTAACGAATAAAAATTAATAAAAATTGAAAGATATGAACAGTCGATTGTTCAACAACAAAAAAACAAATGTTGTGGTTTTATTTTTTTGTAATTAAAATAAAAATACTATAAATCAATCAAACTTCTAAAAGTATTAAGAATATACATTTTTTGTACATATTAATATTTTGTCTAAAAATAACCAATAGTTACTAGCATCCTCCTTTTTCTAGCATCCCTTTATTTCCTCCTACTGTAAATAATTTGGTTATAAAAATGTATAAAAATGATCCAATTAAATAAACAAAACAAATTGTGTAAAACATAATTGGTAATGTAATTGTTATTACACTCAAATGACCTAAAGCTAAAAATATATTTTTTGAATAATTCATGACAGTGCCTAAAATAAATAGGCAACTTTTAAAGTATTAAGGCGGAAATAGTAAAAATCATTAAGCCCCTATTTTTTCCATATTTTAAAGAAAATGTTATTGTTTTTTTTTGTTTAATAAAACACAAAATTTATTATTGTTTTTAATAACACAAAAACTTTTAATAACACTTCGGAAAAAAATAGCAATTTTAATTATACATTTAATCTAATTAATATTTTTAAGTTCCAAAAATCAATAATTTGTTTTCTTTAGCATTTCTTCAAAAGCTTTTCTTCTTTAACTTTTCTAAAAAGTAAGTAAACAGTTTTTAATCCACAAAACAAAACAGACCTAGCAGTAATGTATTTTTTCTCTGTTTTATAATTTGATTTTTTCTAGTTCCAGTTTGGAATAAATGGTTTTTGATTTTAGTAAATTTAATTTTAAAAATTATTCAAGAAAAAACCATTAAAATTAAGTTTTTTCTTCATTTCTGGAATCCATATGTTCAAAAATTCATCGTGATTGAACAGCTTATATTCAAAATTGTTGTTGCAGTATTTTTCGATTGATTCCATTACTCTATATTTACAATCAAAACTATTTGGTCTAATTGGAACTTGATTTTTTTTAACATCATTTATTTTGAATTAAAATTTCAAAATATCACTTGGAAAAACATTCATTCGGCATTGTTGAACAACCTGACATCTAACAAGCTTCAAAACAAGTTGCAAAGCAACATTTTTAATACCCATTTGAAATGATTCAATTTTAATTTATTTTTTATAAACAAATCAATTGTTTAATTAGTTATTCCAATTCCATTTGCAATTTTATCACAAATATATCCTTCAAGTATTTTCCATTGTGAAACATTCATTGTTCTTTGTTCTCCACTTAATTTGGGTTTAATATCTTTTCTTTCAATGGCATTATTTATTACAGTCTTTCCAACTCCGATTATTTTTCTAATTTTTTTGATTAATTGAACTTCTTCTTTCTTTTTTATCAGATTTAAATCCTTTTTTAATTCCTTTTTTACGTTCTTTATTCATTAATTTAAAAATATTTCTTGTAAATATAAATTCATTAGTTCTTGTTGTTGAATATATTCCAAAGTATTTTCTTTTGAAACATTCATCAAAAAGCATTCTTTTTGACATTTTTCCATAAGTTCTTCATAATTTAAAAGCGGTTTGTTCTTCATTTCTTCAGGATTAAAACATTTGATTGTTTTATCAATTTCAATAATATTTCTTTTTTTGTTGTTTCATCTCCTTCTTTCATCAACTCTTCAAAACTTAATTCATCTAAAATTAACAGTTTTTCTTGTTATTAATCATTTTCAATTTCAACTTTTTTGGTTCTGGCAGTTTTCCAACAATATAATTATTCAACTCCATTTCAATTTCATCTTCAAATTTATCAGATTTGATATATTTACCATCAATAAAATGGTGTGGACATTATTCTGATGTGAATATATAACTTGTTCTTTTCATTTGGAAAAATAAGTTTATTTTTTTATTTTCTATAATTTTTTAAGATTTTCTATTTTCTCTTTTATTCTTTTAAGATTTTCTAAATTCACCCATTTTTATGATTTTGTTTTTTTTCAAAAATCGTTTTGATTAGATAAATATTTTTTTCTAAAATACTTAAATTATGATTTAAAATTTGCTCGGGAAATGGTCCTAAATATTAGGGAGTTTTATTAAAGTCAGAAACTCATTTTAAAAATCGCTTTCTCGTTTTAAGCACTGTATCATTTTTGCCTTTGTTTATAAAATTAAATTTGATGGAATTTATGAAAAAGTGCAAAAAAGATAATAATGATGTTTGTAAAACATAAAAGTTTATTATTGTTACATAATATAAAG